GGCTGGATGAAACAGAACGAACGAGAGACGGCACCCGAGAGGGAGCCCGCCGCGGCGGACGGGCGAGCGGAAAGCGCGCTCGTTCGCCGGAGGGAACAGCGGGCCAGGACGAACGAGTCGGGGAGGAAAAGAAGAGACGGAGAGAAAACAGAGCGGCGCAAGCAGAGGCAGAGGCGGCGACGGGACGGGACGCCCGGGAAGAGACCAGCGCGAGAACCGGGCGCGGGAGAAAGTGCGGGAGGAACGGGCGAAAGCCCAGACAATGGGAGCGGCGTGGGAGGAGCGGAGGAGGCCCAGGCGGACGCTGAGGCGGCGCGGGGCGGGACGGGCCGGGACGGGGTAGGAGAAGGGTCCCCTCCGTCATCGGCGCCCGACGCCAACGCCGCCGCTCCCCCAGATACTATACCGGGCCCTCGGCGCCGCGCCGGGCGGCGTGGGCGGAGGCGGCAAGGGGTGGAGCGGCGCGGGAGCGAACGAGGGATGCAGAGGCCCCTGTTCCCCGCCGCGCCACGCGCCGCCGGGCGCCCCGCCGCGCTGCGCGCTCGCTGGGGGCTGCAGGTGCAGCGGTGGCGGCGGCGGCGAGAGCCCGCGGCGCTGCGGCGGAGGCGGAGGCGGCCCCGAGAAAGTGCGGGAAAGGCGCAGGTACCTCTCCCTCCAAGGGGAGAACAAAATCTGGTTTCCAGGCAGCATCTATGGGAAGCCCGGCGACGAGCTTTCGAATATGCCAAATATTCCCTCTTGTTTTTTCTTCGCCTCATTCGAGGCGTACTTTCGCCGACCGCGAGGTGTTGTAAAATGTGATATCGAACAAACTACACTTTGGGAGGACAAGAGAGCAGCGTTAAGGGATTAGACGCATCCAGAACGTACCCCCGTGCGTCCAACAGAACAGGGCTGATGCAGCCAACAGCGTTGCAGCGCGGCGGGGCGTCGAGCAACGCGGCAGCGAGGCCGGGGTTCGACCCAGGCCCGCGAGGTAGGGGAGAGCCCGGGAGAGGCGTCGGAGCCGGGGAGCGAACCCCGGACGGGGCGCGGGAACAAGCGCGGTGCAGGACGGGACGGGAAGGGGCGCAGCGGAACGGCGTGCGAGCGGGATGAGGGTGAAGCTGGGCGGGCGAGCGGGCGCCGTTGCGCGCCGCGCCGCGCAGCAGGAGGAAGGGAAGAGAAAGGGCTGAGAGCACCAAAGTGAGGCGGCGGGCGCCCCTTGTAGCTATTGCGTTGCTCTCGCCGGATGCGCCGCCAGAACATCCACTGTTCACTCAACGCAGCGCTACGTTATCTGAAAGACAGCAGTCGTCCGTCTACAAATGGAGGGGCGGCATAAGAAACAAACAATAAATAATGAATCGCAACCCATAGCACAAGTGTTCATGAATTAAAAGAAAAAGAAAGATCGAGATTCACCGAGGAGCACAACTAGTAACCTTTTTCCGCATTTACATGATAATACATCGAATATTAATGTTAATAATTTTGATAATATTATTTTGGTGCGCAACGTTCGTCACTGTGCAAACATGGCGTTTAACTACCAAAATCGAAATTTTGCATATCGCATATTGTTTCTCCCCATTTGCATTTTGCATTCTGCCATCAATGAAGCAGTATTAGTTCAGAATAACTATTCAACACATCCAAAGACCTGTATTGACAAAATTCCAAATACTAAGCCTATAATCGTTCACAAACTAAAACAATCAATTCTAAGCAACCTACACACACAATGTAGGATACTATCGCGTCTCGTAAAAACACATACTCTCCTTACAACCCGCATCTACCACGTGCACGTTTTATTGTCTCAGGCGCAGAATAGGCTGGGTTATGGAGTACCGTCGGCGCGGAGGCCTCCACGCCCGACGGGGCCGCTCCGCTCCGCGCCGCGCGTCGGGCGCCCAGCGTTTCTCCATCAGATAACCCGGCCGGCGCGCGCGCGCGCGGCGCGGCGCGGCGCGGCGCTGCTGTCTACCTGCAGTGCAGACACGCCTCTCGCCTCCGCCGCTCGCGGCGAGCCGAAGGCGGCCGTGCGTCGGGTCGGCGCGGCGCCGCGTGGCGGCGCGTCTGCCCGCGCTCCGTGACGGCCCCGCGCGCCGCCGAGCCCGTACGTTGAACGCTGCGTTGGCGGACACTTCGCCCCCCCCCCCTCCACGTGTCACGCACTTCGATACGGCCGTCCCAGCGCCCGACTTGGCAGATGAATCGGGACGAAGTATTCCGATATCGAGATCACGATTTCTTTTTCTTTTGTTTCATTTTTAAAATTTGTTTATGGTTTCGAGCTTTTAACGCTCCTTTACTCTAGGGTCAGGCAACTTATCATAAATAATGAATGTGAAAGCACGCGTTTGGTTGTTAATTTTTCAAATTCTTTTCCTTAAAAAATTCTATAACCCCCCCCCCCCCAAAAGAAACGAGGGTTCTTGTAGCAAGATGAGATAGTCATACTATTAAAACACAGTTCACTAAGTAAATATTTTATGTTGTTGGGTAATGGAAAATAATGCTATCTTGTTATGTAAATATTTGAAACATTTTATAACGCTGAAGGTCAATTTGAGCACACACCATATAAAACCGCGTTAAAAAAGTTGTTAAGTAAATTTGCAATGTTACATAAATCTCACGGTGCAATTCCATTGGTACTCACCAAGCGAAATCGACACCCTAATAAAATTATACGCATTCATTTGTTACTTAAGTGTCCATTTGCTCTGACAGCTGGACGTGCTTACCTACAGACAAGAATGCCACCGGAGACCTCCACTTGTGCAGACCGCGCACGTTCAGCCGAAGCAAAATGCGAACGATATCAATCTACGCTAAGGCAGCGATGGCGCGGGGCTACTCGGGCGATACGGTTCACGCGAATCGATTGGGGGCGAGGGCAGGGGCAGAAGCCGGAGCGGGGGCGGGGGCCCCTAGCTACGCGCGCTGCGAGAGCGGCGACGCGATATTTGTCCCGGAATGCCTAAACACAACGCGAGATGTGTGTTTTGCAGAGCGGTCCCCGGCCCGCGGGGCGGCGGGGGAACGGGTCGGACGCGTGTCGAAGCAACGACAAATTCCCTCGATAAATTTGAAGCTGTCTCGTATGAAATATGTTTCCATTCTTACGCGACGGGAAAAAGAAAACGAAGGACTCCAATGAAACACCAAGTATGTGTAGTATAGTAGTACTACTATGGGCCACAGCGTGGAGTGTTGCGAATCGCAAAAATCCGAAGGCAACGTGACGTGACGGCTGAGCTGCAGAATCCGGGAGGGGGCGACGGCGGAGGGGCACTATCGGGTGATTACCTCACAAAAAAGGCGCCTCGCTGCGCTAAAAATACTGCACAAACCGCAAGCACGGCCAATTCTATGTCTGCGATGGCTACAAAGCATACCCCCATCCCACACGCATTCTTGTAAAAATTATCTTCCAAAACATGTTGAGCCGGATATAGCATGTATGTTTAATGAGACAAAAATGACAGTTACACGATAATGACTGTAGTTGAAAATCTGTCCGATTAAAAATAAAGCCCCGTTTTTCATGTAGCCACTGCGTATTTCTGTAAAATCTAGTTTGTTCATTCTTATTGCGATTGGCGATGTTGTTGATGTAATAGATGTTTTCCATTACGAAAATTTGAAAACACAAATATCCTCAATGACGGCCAAATTGAAAAATGAATTTAACTTAAGAGAATAGTATTAGTAATTTCCTATAAATTCTAAATTCCTTTAAAATATGAACTATTTACACACCATAACTTACTAATATTTGATATCGTATTTCTCACAGAGAATATTCTTAAGTAATGCTGGTTATGGAGAACCACGGACTTAAAATTTTACGTACACGACATAGTAAAGTAAGAATGTCTTGAAATAATTGTTGTTCGATTCGTCACGGTCTAAAGTAACAGCCCCATGCTTCTTCACGTCAAGAGACGCAAGCATCGTGCTATTTATTCCTTGATAACCACGAAGGAAATTCGTTGGTTTTGCAGTGTATATAACGACGAGCGTGCCAATTTGGCTTTCTCTCCCTGTTATGTGAAGGCGTCATTCTCCTTTTAGTTGCGGCAGTAGAAAGGTCAATGGCAGGGTTTCGAAGATATCGCGACGCTGATATCATACATTTCACAAGAGCAATGCACGCCAGACGATCTGTTGTGTGAAGAAGGAATGTCAACAAACTTCAATTGCATGCTTCCAAAGGAACGCCTAACAGAAATAAAACCTATTAATAATCTATCCCCTGACGGCTTTTTGAGTAACATTTAGACTAATCGCTCAAATAGGAGTGAAAAAATGAACACCGAAACCAAGTGCATTTTCTAAGACAAGGGCATTTAAGGAAAACTCCTAAGAAGTAGCAGTGGGAGATAATCTTCATTCACATTCACGTATTTGAAATCTATGCATTCGAGAGCGGTTGGTACTGATGGGTGCGTTTCACAATCCGAACTCAGGACCAGTTCTCCAACCAATTACCCTTGGCATTGCAAAGGCTAATTCGCGCTATCTCGCGAAGATCATCCCGAGCAGCCCAGAAACGCATGCGGGGGTCTAGACCCATCCGATACAGCGCCGTACAATACGAAAGTATGCTGCGCCGTCCGTACACTTTGAAGGCTACAGCACAAAGCGGGGCTCAACCGGAGAGGAACAAAACAACAGGTAGAGAAAAACGAGAATAAAAAAAAAAGCTCGCCTGCCGAAGAACCGGCCTTTCCAGTAACGCGCGAGGGCAGAAGATAGAGGCACAGCGTCGGCGGCGGCGGCACCGCGCCACAGCACACCTTACGCCGCTGCTGAAACAGTATGAAACTTGAAGGCAGGAGGCTTGGCACCTGACCTTCCTGGCGCCCCAAATCCCCGCGTTGCCAAACGTCGTCCTCCCACCGGAACTCCTCGCGAGAATGAACAAAAAATTCGACGGAAAAAAAAGAAGACGCCGAGCCTCATTTCTACATCTTAGCAATAAAACCAAAGGCTCTCCCCTCCTCTCATTATCTCCGGCCGCGGTGCGTCGGCGCCGGCGACGCCGCTGCCGCCTCCTCCTCCACCTTGCCGTCCAGCGTTGCAATCCTGCATTGTTGGCAGGTAACTGTAAACAGTCCCGCGCGGCTGCGGCTCCGGCGTCTCGGCTGAGAGAGGTCTCTCGCGGATTCGGCAACGCCAGAAATATACATACACTTCATCAACGAGAGAATTTAAGATTTCTTATCCTGCCTTCCGAACGGTAGAACAATGTTTGCGATACGTCTGGACAGTGCACACAAAAATTGCAGGCCAATGTGAGATTAAAACTATTCCCAAATTCAGTGTCACTTTCAATTTACGCCCAAATCCCTTTTCCCCACTGCGTGAGAAGAGGTTCATTCACACATCGCAGTAAAAAGGAAGCTTTCTGCAGTCGAACCCAATTTCAACACAAAATACCATGTTTTGCTATCTGACCCATGTTTCACGCGGTAAACAACTAACCCGGGCGCACGAACCGACAGGTTAATAGGCGGCCACCGACGAACGGGCGCGCCATCACCTGCTTAATCGCCACTTTTACTTTCTTCGCCGAGTGCCGTGACCAGAATGCACACGCGTCGGGAACAGCTGAGATTTTGGCGCACCGTTTCGCCCCCTCTTAAATTCACTCCAGTGGCGTGTTATGCAATAGCACGATAACAAACGCCCCCCCCCCCCCATTATGACACAGAAGCATGTGACCCGGAAGATCCACTTTCAATTCAATAGCAAGACTCACATACACACTAATTTAATTAAGACTAATTCTTATACAAAAATGTATAAACTTGAAATAGTTGAATAAAGTGATGGTTTAGTTCACTGATCAGGTAACAAATCTTTTGAAGAAAGCAAACAACTACAAAAGCAAATTTAATTTAAGCCGTTTAAAAACAGGACGAATAAAGTGTAGAACAAAATACTCCACATTCCTAGGCACGTTTTAGACGCAGGGAGCGATGGGCGCGTCCCAGGTATGTTCTCGGGCCCCTTGGGCCACGCTTCGAATCGGGACAGGACGAGTCCGGTTTTCCCCACCCGCGCACCTACGAACTCGACCATTCTGGGGCCAACGCACATTCCGATCCGATGAGTGGCTAGAGACCCGAGGAGCGCGAGATCTCTAGCAAGAGTAACGCTGCCACCCAAAACAACCATTGCCTTTTGCATACTTTTGTTTAGCTCTCATTGATTTCTGTAATCAATTACAAGAAACTTTAGAATTACGAGTCTTCCTATCAATAGGAACAACTCGCGACTTCTTAACAACAATCCCACGACTGAATTTCGAAGAGCCAAAAAGAGACCGGATGTGACGCTGACCGCATCAATCGCTGGCGCATGCTGTGAAGACTAGGCACCACGCACCTGTTGTCACCGAGTACGGAAAAAAGCTATTTCGGATAAGCGCGGAATGAAGCTCACAAACACCTGTTTTACCACTCCAAAACGAGTTATTCACATTGACGTACATTTTAGCAAACCGCTTTAAAGCAATTATACAAATAATAAAAGCGATAATAAGTAAATATCGACCTGACAATGTGAAAATATTGCAAAACAGCATCTTTCTAAAACAAAGGAATACTGTAGAACAAGAGAAATTACATGAGGATGTAAAGTATGCGCTGTTGCTACGTTTCTGCCAATCACACTACTTTTCCCATAACTTAAATAACAATTCGAACAAAGCTGCTCGAAATAAACGCAGTACATATCTAGTAAACACACGAAGTGTGAATTCACGTAATGCGAGCGTAATCCACAGCAACAGCTGACGCGTGGCTCGAAGCGAGGACCGGCTGTGCCGACGGCGTCCCCTCGCCGCGGGCGCCGGCGGCGTCGGAAACGGCGCTCGCCCCAGGCCCCCGCGCGGCCGCAAATAACCGCGCGACGGAGGCGATGGAGGCGGCGCCAGCGGCGCGACGCTCGTCACGTGCGCCAGCTTTAAAAGTGAGGTTAGGTGCCGGCAGAGGCGGCGGCGGCGTCTGCACGACGGCGCGCCCGTGGAGGCGGCGACACTGACGGATCGCGCCGCGCCGACCCAAACAGCTGTTCCTCCCGGGCGCGCGCGTGCCTCTGATAGCTGATTTACACACAATGTCGACTAATTGACGGGGCAGCTCCCGCGAGTACAGACGCCCTCGTCGCCGCGATAATTGTCGGTGCGCGGCGGCGGTGGCAAACGACGTGACAAACGAGATCACCGAAGAGAACGATTCGAGACGCGCCTTATCGGCGTGAACGTCGACGTCGCTACGGACTTCAGGGGGCGCGGTAATCAGCTGACACGGCGCCAGACCGCCGGCGGAGAGCAGGACAACGATGCCGCGTGCGAGGGAATGACAGACGCAGGGTGACGGCGGCTCTCCTCACCTGTAGTAAGGACTTCCGAAGGGTGAGCAGTAGAAGGGGTCACTATGCACGTGCGGCATCATGGGGCACATGGCCGGGTGCGGCGGGGGGCCCGCGGGGGGCCGTGCAGCGGCGGCGGGGGCCCCGGGTTCATGGGTGCGGCGGCGGTGATGGGCGTCCGGCCCAGGCCCCGATGGCCCCGTGCTGACCTGGGGGGCTGCGGACGCATAGACTGCTGAGCGGCGACGGCGCTCCGGGGGCGGCTGCAGCGGCTGCGGCGGCGGCTGCTGCTGCAGCGGCGGCGTGGCCCAGCGGGAACGGTGGCGGCTGGCCCGCTGCGGCAGGCAGCGCGGCGGCGGCGAGGGCGGCGGCGTGACGGGCCTCCAGACTGCACGCGCGCTTGCACGTCGGCACTACTAGCACATGGTCCCGACAACACCCCTCCACGACGCTGACGCCGTCGTCGTTGTCACTGGCACTGGCACTGCCACTGTCACTGTCACAGCACGTCAACACCGTCGTCGAGGAACACTCGTGGTGGTGATGGCGCGGCCGCGCCTGTATCGGGAGGCCGGCCCTCCGCGCCCGGTCCGCCCAACGCCGCACATACCACACCGACACCTACTCCGGCGCTGGGGGCCGCGCGGTGTGGCGCCGGCCCAAGCGCCGGGAGGGCGGGCGGTGGAGGCGGGAGCGCGCGGCGGGAGGGAGCGCAGCCAGCGCGGCGAGGGGAGGGCGGGCAGCGCTGCGCGCACGGCTGCACACGCGCGGGACCCGCTGGCGGCGCCCCTCCCGGCGCCGAGGCCGCGCGGCGGCGCGGACTCCGACGGCCCGCGGGGCCGACGGTCCTGGAGCAGCGTCGGCGCCCCCACGGTCCCCGCCTCCGCTACACCGCCCGGCACTCTGTTCGCCCGTCCCCCGCTGCCCCTGGCGCGCCGGCCCGCGGAGGGGCCCGTACCGTTGGCAGCACGCGCCCGGCACCGGAGCAACTTTCCTCTACTCTCTCGACAGGGCGTCCTGCTTTGTTCCTATTGGCTGCCCCAGTTCGAGTCACGTGATAACAAAACGAGCGGTTTCAAACAAAAAATGTTGTGAAGCCTAAAGAGCCGTGGAAAACGGATTCCACGCGTTGTTTACACTTGTCAACAAAACTTTACAGCTATTTAAAACTGCTCCACTTCGGACAACGCACTGTCATCAAATCGCGAAAACTTTTTACACGCCTCCTTACATGCCGGCGGGCAGTGCGCTAGAGCAGACCGCGTGCGGCGGCGCCCGCGGGCGCCGGGCGAGCGAGCGCGCGAAAAAAGAAGACGGCGGGGAATCCGCGAGAGAATGAATGAAAGCGTAATGAAGACGACTTGTTAGGCGGAGAGCAACATCGCGGGCGCCCGCGCAGGCCCCGCAGTCTCGCGCGGGCCGCACTACATCACTGTCCAACGGGGCGGCTGCGGCAGGGCGCCGTGTTCGATACACGCGCCGGCATGCTCCACAGCGCCCGGGCCTCGGGTGCGCGGGCCGAAGGGGGTGGCGGGCGCCCAGCGCCAGCCCCCTGCACCTACGCCGGGGCCTCGTGCGCCGTGCACCTGTCCCGCGCCTGCCCTGAGGAGAACGCACCTGCGCATCCCCTTTGCAGCCGCTTGCCGCGAGCGGCGCTCCCAAGTAGGAATGATTCTACAGGACTCCTCAGGTTTCGATCTTACTGCGCCCGTCTCGAAAAAAGTTAATATTACGTTTTCCTCACGAACATAATTTTTCCTGCCTCTAGCACGAAGCGTATTTATATGATCGTACAACATAGCGCCCTCTAATACATATGTAAAAGTAAGCCATCACTGGCACTAACATTCTGTTGAATAATAATAATAATAATAATAATAATAATAATAATAACAATAATCTCATTTTGTCATGGAAACTAGAGCAAATTGAATGGTTCATCAAATGATCTGCCGTTCTGACCAAGAATTCTGTGCTAATACTCCGGGCGAGCTTAGATATTCTAAATTGTAATACATAAACAATAGACAGAAGTACAAATAACCCGCGGAAAATATGCCGCCTTTTGCGAAAAGAATGCCTAACTGAGGGAGGCATTCATACAGATCACTAAGAAGGATCACCGTTCAGAATGCAAGGCAATCAACAACTGTTCTTTCGAAACGCAGGTCTTCCTTTATTCACACCACATTCACTCACGATCCCGCTCTTCTACTGGCCGGGCAGCGGCACCGGACACTGCATCGACGGCGAAAGTGACAGCCACTCAGCTGTCCGTCGGGCAGGACCCCCGTCAAGACAGCTGCAGGCGCCTCGTGAATGAACGCAATCATCCGACCATCGTACCTGCCCGCCTGCCTAGCCGCGCGCCCACGGGTCTGTCTGTTCACCCGGCCACCCGTGAGCTCGCGTGATGCCCCGTCGTGGGTCTCGGGCACCTCCCAAGGGCCTGCACGCGTGCGAGGAAAGTGCCCTAGCCCTGCGCGCCCCGCCTCGCCCCACCGCGTTCACCACGCGCGCGCCGAACGCATTCCTGGGCGACGCGCCGGGCGTTCGCATTCCATCGCTCCTCCGCGTCCGAGGCAACAGCTGAGCTGCCGCCATGCCGTGCGGTGCGGGGCTGCGTGGTGCGGCCCTATGCGGGGCGCTGGCGCCCGCCACTTGTTGGGCCCGGGCCGCGCGCGGGCCGGGCGGGTCAGACGGGCGAGAAACGAGCGGGCCCGAGCGCGCAGCGCACGCCAGCCAACCAGCCGTATACGGCCAAAATAATCCGCCCTTAATGATCTCAGCCACGTGGATCATTCCTTAATCCCTTAACAAGGAGGACCGGAATTACCCCGCAGGCCCCCACGTGGCCCTACTATTAAGCGCGTCTCCCATAATTAATGCTTCATCTTTCAGCTATATCTTAGCCCTGCGGCGGTTTAACGACCGGAATTCAATGCATCCGCTACTGCAACGGCGGCGCCCGGTAAATACAAAACCCTAACATTCATCACCGCCCTCGCCCCTGCCCGATCGCGTTCCGCGCCCGCGGAAACAAAAGGCAGGTTAGTTCCATTAAGGCCTCATCCGATTAGCACAGCGCCTCACGCGGCGGTAGCGGCGGCGGCGGCCAGCGCTGCCTCCGCACGAGCCGCGAGATTTGTGGCCGCCCGCCGCGCTCATTCACAAATGAAAAGAAACTTCCTACGAGAGGGGGAAGGGGGACGAAAAAAAGGAAGGAGAATAAACAGCGTTTTTGCCGGGCCCCGGAGAGGAGTCGACGACGGGAAGGATTCTGTAATGAGCATAAAACAGCTTATTGAAATCGGGCCGTCAACACGACACGCGCGCCTCACGTCCGGAGTGTCGACGAAGACATGGGCATCACGCTGTAGCCACTGCAAGCGCTCTTCCAATAGACGAGACGTTCTAGCCGCCTAGCTGGGTTCGGTTCCTATGGCAAGGACACGATTTTTAAACGAGTGGTTACCTTTCTTCTATTTTGAAGCGATAACGTTAACTCATGTCTCCAACAATATAATAATAGTAATAATTATTATTACGTTAATTCCTGGATACCTCATTTAGAAACCCTTTAAAGTCTTAGAATTACAAAAATGTTACATTTTCATAAACATTTTCCAATGCCCACTTTTAATTCGTTTCTTGAAAGTAATAATGGGGACGTAGTAATGCAAAATTAATAATACGCATTTTCAAAGTATCATATAAATAAAGAAATGGGGTTATATCGCAAGGGTATTTCAAAATTTTTAGATATAAAGAGTTTTAATTAAAAAGTTACGACTAAACAAACAAAATCAAGTACAATATTAGTTTTGTATTTGAACCCGACACCAGAGTTTCACGCGCATACGTTATACATTTCGAAATGCAAAGGTATTTTAATTTTATAATGAGAAAGCGGATGGTGATAGCCTTTACCCGTTATTTCCTGACGGACATTAACAGGTACTTTAACCATCATTCTTCTATAAAAATAAATCTTATAAAAACAAGAACTCTGACGACTGTCTCCAGGACGAACTTTCCTGGCATTGATTTATATATAATTCAATCTTATTTCACACTATGTGGAAGAACAAAATGCGTTTTTATTATAACTCAATTGGATCACATAAGAAACGCAAAGAACATTTACAAATCACACCAAAAATGGTCGTTCCAGACACCAGGGTTGGTCCGAGTCCAAGTGTGCCTTTCATTTCTATTCGACAGGACGCATTTAGAGTGTGTACAATATTTATGCGTTCGCGTCGGGACCAAAATAATGCAATTAAATTATTAAAAATGCCACACATTGTAACTGTAACATGCGTCGGAAACGGGCACGAAACAATCCCAATACTCGACGGGCGATTCAGAGCTCAAACAAGTCTCAACCAATGAAAGCCCAAACCCAGCCAATGAAATTGGGTGTTTAATTCCCAACATAACATTGTTTAGGAAATGAATCTTAGAAGGGTAATTAATATATTAATGTCCACATAAACACGAAAATAATGTGTACAAGCAAAACACTCCGAATGAATTAATCCAACACAATAATGTCGTAAAGAACGCAAAACGTATGAAGAAATCAAGAAATTCACTCTTTGAAATACGACTGAAACCGACCTCGAACATTCCTCTCCGTTAGCAAATTCCCCAAAAGAAACCGCTTGACAACATTCCCACGTGTCCTCGCTTCGCAGAAGAGCCACTCGCGAGTCCGTTACGTGACGGCCGCGTCGTCTCAGAGGTCGGGGTAAAGCACGCGGGGCGACTCCCAAAAGAAGCGGCGTCTGCCATCGGCGCAGGCGGGGTGGGGTGGGGTGGGTGGGTGGGGGGCGAGGCGGCGTCGCGTCGATTGCACTTAATGCAGCGCACATCCGGCGCGCGACCGCGCATCCATCGCGCCGCCCGCCCGCCGTCACGCGCGCGCCGCGGCGACGCTAATTACGCGCGGCCGTGCAATTAAGGGGCCGGCGCCCCCTCTCCCCGCCCCTGCCGCCGCTACAGCAGGCCACGCTTTTATTTGGAAAAGGCGATAAACTATTCGCGTCATCCGGTAAGAATCAATGGAACGGCACAGCTCGCGATGATTAATTTAGATAATGACGAAAATCACTGAACCGGCGTCAGTCATACGAAGTAAATTTATAATGCGAGGGCGCGGGGACGCAGTTCGTGTGTTTGTGTGCGGCGTGCGAGCACGGGGTACGTACTGCTCTTCATACGGCGGGCCGGCGACGCGCGGACTGTTTGTAACCCGACGGGTTGAACGAGCGCCCGACCGAATTCCTTGGGCTGTTTCCGCGATGCAAATCTTATTGGCAATTTTAAAAAAGATAACATGGGCGCCCCTGCGGCTGCGGGCGCGGGGCGGCCGCGGCGGGCGGCGGAGGCGCGCGGGGCGGCCGGGAACGCCCAGGCGATTTTAACACGGGTAGCGGTCGGCTCGTGACCCGGCTCCCAAGGAGATAAAAAAATACAGCACTAAAAATAGAGGGCACAAGTGCGGGGGTTAGTGCGGCGGCAGCGGCGTCGGACGCGCGCGCGCGCCCGCCCGTGCCCGCGTTGTGTGAACCTCGAGAAGAGAGATATTGATCACAATACGGGATATGTGGCGCGCCCTTCGCGAGGCTAGCAGCGGCGGCGGCGTCGGCGGCGATGGAGGTGGTGGCGGCGGCGGCAGCGGTGGCGGTGGTGATGGCGATGGTTGCGGCGGCGGCGGCAGCGCGCTCGCAGCCAGCGAGGCGGGCCGACGCGGCGCGGCGAGGCGGGAGCCAGCCCGCCCGATCCAGGCAACGCTGCAGCGGCAGCGTGCGGCCGCCTCAAACCATCTCCTCCTCCTACCACCCGACCGCACGACCACCTGACCACCGAGACCACCCGACGGCCCCCGCCCCGCCACCGCAGCCCGAGCCTGAGCCTGCCGCTCGGTCGCTCTTCGGGCCGACCGGTCAGCCGAGCGAAGGCAGATGGGCGGGCCTGCGGGGCACGGGCCTCGCGTGTGCGCCTCGAGCGGACGAGCGGCGCGCTGCGTGTCCGCGCTTTCTGCCCCATTCGCAAGTGACATCGATTCCTCCGTGTCGTACCGCCATCGGGATCTGAACCCGGCCCTCGTGCCCGTGTCCGTACTCGCCGAGGCCAGGCAGAAGCAGAGGCGGCGGGGCCCAACGCAATGCGGCACCCTCTCCCGCCCGCCGCGCACCGAGCCAGCGCGAGAGCAAGCCTCCCCGACGGGTGCAGCGCCGCGGCAAAAAAAGCTGCTCCCGGGACGGAATATCGGGCCCCGCCGCGCAAGCGACAGGCACAAACTGACAGTTCGCAGACAGGCGCTAGACTGGAACCCACCGCACCAACTACGTTTCGAAAAATTGTTTTGTATTACACAATAGTCATATGCAAGTTTGAACTACCGCAACACATAGCTCATTTAATTTATTAATTCCATTGGAATAAAATTTAAGTTATCTCACCACCATACCTAAATTCAAAGTGTTTCGAGGGCAGTTTATTAGTGACTCTAATATTCACTACGTATCTAATGTACCACTGCACTGTCAGTGGTATTTGCCATTCTCTGAATAGGAATAAGATGAATCATTTTCAATAATTTCATAATTAACTCGTTTGTTTTGATCGTCTCGAATGAGTAATAAACGTGTTTGCCCCTTCAGTTACGGACTACCAAAATTTACTGAGCGTTGTTGAGAGAAACTTCTAACACATTTCAATATAGGATAAGAAGAAAAAGAGAGATTTTTTTCCTTCAAAAAGTCCTCTTGACGCGCAGAAATTTAATACTATACTTTGATTTAAACATAGGGTCTATTGACTTAAATCCGCAGTAAAGGTGTCTGCAGATTATCCGTCGAAGGACACTAAGAATAAATCGACATATGCCAGAAGTCGTATGTTGTGCTAAGAGATGACTTTAATTCCAAATGAACAATTATTCACGAGAAAAACAAAATAACAAGAAAAAAAAATTTACCATGAAATATCCGGATTGTAATATACTGAAATCTGGCAGAGGAGTAAACACGACTAAATAAATTTTCTTCCAAAGTTCATACGCCCAGCAAATGACAAAGTACCAACATTTCCTACCGCTAGGAAACCCCACTAGCGTCACCAACATCTGCGCCTAATTTTAAGGGGGGAAAATTAAGGCTTGAAAGCTTGGAAACACAACAAAGCGCCCGGCGGGGGCGACGGTTGCGTTCCCGGAAACCCCTGACATCTCCGCAACTTGCCGAAGCTCAAAAGCGTGCGAACAAGAACGACGTTAACGCGACCACTTCAAAGCGAGGGCTCCTGAATGCCGCCCATAACACCTCGTATTCGCGCCCGCGCCGACTGCAAAGAGCGCGCGGTCACCAGAAAGACTGCGCTCGGCGCTCGGGGGAGGGCGTCGGGCGGAGCTGTGCACTGAACTCCTGAGATTTTTTAAAAATTCCTATTGTTGACAACTGCCCTGGGCAATAATTGGTTGACCACTCGATCGGTATTTCGTAGTTTACCTTGGCCCGTAGTGCATGATGCCTTGCTTTATTCACGAACATAATATGTAGCTTTGCTATAACATTACGTCAAATACAACTTTCAAAGACATTTTTATGTAAATATGTTCTAAAATAACATGATTTTGAACTAGAAAAAATAATATTCCTCAAAGATTATTCTAACAATTTGTTTCTAGCGTGTACATGGCACAATCCAATAATATATTGCCTCTGACATTAAGAATACGAGTCGTGAAAAACGCGCAAGTTGCCAAAGAACTACGCGAAAAGAAGAACTAATCC